TGTAAAGGAGTATCTTGACCTTATGTACTGAAACACAAGGTATTGTTTGCCCATGGGTAATGTAGTAATAAGACTGGTTGCGTACTGTATAGGTGTAAACTGTCTGGGAGCCCCAGATGATCTAGTAGATTCTGTTTTATTATTTTGCCTTGTCCGTACCTCTTTATTTGCAATGCTTTTGGGTTAAGTGTGCAGGGGAAGTCAAACACTTGGTGTATATAAATAGGACTTTTTCTGAGAATATATTGTACAGAGTTACAAATAGGACGTCCATGCTGAATGCCACCCGCCATTCAAGTTTTTCCCACACTGCCAATCCATCACTTAAGTAATCCATGATCGGAAGCGACATGCTGAGACAATGACCTAATTAAGGTGATGTGAGGAGAGGTATGCAATTATTTCTGGCTGTCATAAGCAGAAGGAAGGAAGTCAAATCCTGACATTACAGTAAACTGATACATAGCATCTGTTTGAACAATATGTACACAAAGTAAAAAAAATAATAAAGTACAGCACAGATTATGTGCGAAACAATGACACCGCGGACGAGGGATAGAGTGGAATATGCGTGTTGTTCCTTTATTATGGTGGTAGTCTTGCTTTCCTTGCCTGAAGGCGTCCTCGCATATCTGTTGCTAACTACATATCCTGCCATACACAAGGTGATTCAGCAAAGAGTACATTAAATTGGAGGATGAAATCCTTGGGTAATTCTAAACCACAATGTCTCTATGGTAAAATGTCAGATTCTGCATATGCCCACGTGTTTGTGACAGGTGCGAGCAAATTAAACATAGTCCAGGCATTCTGGAACGCGTCAAACAACCAATGGTACGGCATGTGCAGGCCTGCATTGGGACAGAAGGGGGCAACTTTGAACAATTTCTTTAGGTTGTAACAAAGAGGGGTTACACTAAAGATCTGTGAATAAATGATTACAAAAACCTATGGGGTTTTCACTTCAAATTCACTCAAATTAATACATCTTAAATGTATTGTAACATGGAAACTATACAGAATCTGACATTTTATCACTAGTTGGATGACAATAACTACCCGTGATGTACAGTGGTTTGATCTTCAGACCAACAATAATCAAATTTTTCTGCAAATTTTTCTTCTTATTGTGGGCCTGTGGGGCAAAAATGTAATAATAATAATTCACAGTAAATAAAATTTATAATAAAAATACAATAAGTAAAAATTAAATAATAAACTAATTATAGTGTTAATAATTACAACAACAACACTAATAATAATAATAATAATGAACCATAAAGAAATACAAACTTGAAAAAAAAAATAAAAATCAATAGTGAGAAACAATATACAGTATGTATGTTGTGTTGTCAAAGTAAGAGAAACAATTGAGACCCTGCAGATCATCAACCTGGGACTTGGTCAAAATTTTTGTGATGCCATATGGCAGCAGGGTCTACCATTAGACAACACATCATGCTTCCAATATCTTCTCAGATGGTAGTACCTCCCTATTTGATAGCTGCCTACTACCTATTTGGGATGTTGCCACCTTCTTTGACTGAGCACACAGCCAGATGGCAAAATCACACCTTATTTAAGAAGGACTCCAACCATATTTCTATTCTAGCTAGAGGGTTACATCCAACGCCAACATGTAGAGGAAGGGTGAAAATAGTGATATCCATCAAAAAACACATTTTGGCCGGGGTGTCGCTTCACCCCCTTCTAATGCGGAGTGCCTCACATACAATACAGGTTAAAGAAATAATTTTCCTAAGGGTAAACACACAAAGGGAATATACATTTCTTTGTACACAAGTAAAAATGTACCCCCCTCCCCTGGTCAGCAAATGTTATTCGCAGATTTGGCGATTTGCTGCCATTTTGAGAACCTAACCCTAGCGAATTTGAAGGGGATGCTGTATTGTAATGATTTTTTCACTACTTTTATAATTTCATTACAAGTAACAATATGGTGGGTCGGCCACATAATTTATAGCCAAGGCCTTGGCTTGAACCGCCTCCATAGATACACGTTCACTTCTCACACATACACACCCGTGTTCTTCGTTTTCTTGTTTTATATTATATTTTCTTTATTTCTAAACCACATTAGAGTATTATAATTTTTTTTCAAAACTTTTAAAGTTTCATTACAAGTAACACTATATGAGGCAGCTGGGTTGGCGAGTCAGCCACGTAATTTATAGCCAAGGCCTTGGCTAGGACCGCCTCCATAGATACATGTTCACTTGTCACACACACTTATGCATCCATGTTCTTCATTTTTCATATTTTACAGTTAAATAGAGTAGAATAATTGGTGAAGCCAACAAAGTCCGTTTTCTGAGACATGCCGGGAGTCAGCAGGCTGACATGCCAGTCAGCTATGGCCTGCGAGATGGTAATGCATGTTGCCATTGTTACATATAATAAAATGATAAAAGTTGTGGAAGAATCATTTCAATTCTCTAATATGTATTCTGTGTGGGAGGTGATCGTAAGTGTGGAAGCAGTGGGCAGTTTGTCAATAGTGCATCTGGCGACTGCTGGTTAGGTCTATTTCAGTTTAAATGTGCATTACGCAACCACCTCTGGTGTAAGGTTACTTTATCCTCATTGCCACTGATTATCAAGTTGATTTCAGCAGAGAATATTTAGAAAAAAATAATTGATAGCATAAAAAGGGAAAATATTATACTATATAAGATGGTAATACAAGTTGCCATTGTTACATATTATGAAACTAAAAAAGTTGTGTAAAAATCATTTCAATACTTAGAAATAATGTAAAGTTGTGTAAAAATCATTTCAATACTTAGAAATAATGAAAAGTTGTGTAAAAATCATTTCAATACTTAGAAATAATGAAAATATAATATAAAACTATTAAATAAGAAATATGAAGAGCATGGGTGTGTAGTCTGTCTCTAAGATGCAGTGGAACTCCTGCGCCACCGTAGAGGACCCTCGCAGCCAGTAGTGGAAGTTGTCAGATGCATGTACATGACTTCCCTTGCTCCCCATGCAACCTGTAGTGCAGCCAGTGGAATGGCAAGGGTCGAAGAGTCGCTTTGTTTAAACCTGCAGTTTAAGGGTTTACTGTACGTAACAATCATCTCGGTAAAAACAGTTGTTTGACAAGCAGACTTGTGTCTGATTTTCAACCCAGAGTTTTCTGTTTCATATTTTTTATATTCTTGGTATAATAGTGTTTTACTAACTTTAGTTGTTGAAGTGCATTAATAACATTATATAACAGTTGGTTTTCTTTTTTTTTATATGGTCCTGATAAGCAGTGTTATCTCCAACTCCCTACCCCAGATTCGCATTTTCTGGGGGTCTGCCTCAATTGGTCAGGTGTATCGGGGTACTATTGTACTGTACTCCCTTGCAAATGCAGTCATCTTGAGCTTGTGATGCAGGCAAGCCAAATGGTGATATGGTGATACAGGATGGCCTGCCTTTGTCCTGTATCATCTACTGTCACTTGATTCCCCCTCCATAAAGGAGTGATTTTCCCTTTGTATACAGTACATGTACTGTACATACACCCTCTACATACTAGCCTACAGTAGGCATACACTGTCCACTGCTTTTCACTCTTATTGAATAGTACAGTGGGGTATATGAGACTAATAATTTTTTACTTCTTAGGAAGGATTAATGATGATAGTAGTGTACTGTTTATTAATACAGTATTGTAGTGTGTTGATTATGATATTAAAATGGTGGTTACTCTAACAATTTTTTTTTTTTTTTTTTACAGGACGGAAACAAGGGCATGACCCTTGAAGCTCGCAAGCAGAGAGATGCTGAAATGATGAGACTAAAGCAGCAAAAAGCAGAAACTAAGAGAGATGATGGTAAGAAGTAACTGCAAAGATTTGAAACATCTCTGCAAAACTACTTCTGATGGTGTGAATCCAATGACCATTTTTTTTTATATTTTTGACATGTAAGAAAATGTTATAGCAAGTTTTGAATAGTGTGCTACTTCGTTCAGCATTGGATAGGTTTCTCTTGCTATTCTTGTAAGGACTTCACTGTAGAGGAGGACTGACAGAACCAATCTTTGAAAATGATTGAAGTGAGAATTGGAGAAATTCTAAGAAATGAACTATACAGATTAAAGCCTTTAAGGTGGATATGGGTAGTTGTGCACCACATTATGGATTTTTTATATTACTTGTTTTCATTTACTACTAGTGATTGGATTATTCAGTATCTTACATCATGGTATTGAGTAATGGGAGTTTTGATTAATTTTGTTAATCCACCTTTGGCTTTCAGAATAATTGGTCATCTATTTTGAACTGGACATTAATTTTAAGGAATATTGTATTTTTATTTAGTAAAATAAATGTTTAATTGTAACTGTTTTGTCCCATGATTGTTAATCCTTTGAAGTGTTAATGCATTTGTTCCTCTTTTTGCTGTTTGCGCCATAAATATTATTGAGCAGGATTCGGAACTCCATTGTGCTTTACTATTATTATGAATTACTGGTAGGTTCAATTATTTGTTGAAATTAATATTTTAAAAATGTTACAATGGGCTGTTTTCAGAAATGCTAACATAATTGCACTGTTACTTATTAGCACACTAAGGAATATTAGCTCTCAGTTAATATAAGTGTGTGGTATGGGTCTGGATTTATTCTACATTTTTGCAATAAGCCTAGTTCAGATTTAATAGGTCCATTTTTTAATAAAGAAATGCAATTGTTGCACTTTTCTGAACAGCAATATAGAAAGCTAGAGATGCATGACAAGCTGTGCTACTGCATTTCAATATTAATGTAATACTACATGTTTGATAAAAAAAAAGTTCATGTTTGGTTTGTCATGCTAATTACTCAAAACAAATTACATTGGCACATAGAATGAAATTTAGCAATACTGTATTTGTCATTGGGTAAATTTGGTACTGATCAGTCATGTCCAAACTTCTCAAGTGTATTGGATGCCTTTCAGCATCAGGCAGTGTAGAATAACATCTATGGGAATTAGATATTAAGCCATTTCATTATTTACAGCATAAAAAGATGTTCACTGCCTTTTGTTGTTGCTCTCATTTCTTACATCAGTTTTCAAATAAAATAAATTTTTAGGGTTTGGGTGATGTTTAACATTATATGTGGATATTAAAGTGCAATCATAATTTGATTATGATTATAATTCATCTATATAGTATACAGTACTATAGTGCATTTTTTCTCAGCTGAGAAAAGACACCCCGCCCCCTCCTCAAAAGTTACAGCCGATTGGCTGTTGCAAACATGTCCGATTTTGTCCTGAAGTAATGATGTATTTCTTAATGAGTTTATTCATAACCCTATAATCGTTGGGATGACCGTTTCTAATGAGAAAGATATTTGGTTAAATTATATAAAGACTTTCATTCATTATTTCAAACCTAAGCACAGAGGAAGTTTATCAGAAGTATTACATGAATCAAATATGAAGTTGTTGGCAGTATATTATTTCAATGTGATTTTGATCTTTTAAAAAGTTTTTTGCAAAATTTAGTATTACTGATACGTAATTTGTCTTGGTATGCCTTATTGTGGGTAAAAATAAGTATACCCTGTACCGGTATATTAAATGCATCCTCCAAGTGCAAATTTGCTACCGTTGTTTAACAGCTAACTCATGTATAATACTTCTGATAAACTTCCTACGTGCTTATGTTTGAAATGATGAACGTATGTATCTTTTTTTAATTTAGCTAAATATATTTCTTTTCAGAAACGGTCATCCCAACAATTATGAATAAACTCGTTTAGAAATACATCATTGCTTCAGGACAAAATTGGACAGGTTTCCAACAGCCAATCAGCTGTAAGTTTTGAGGAGGGGGCAGGGCATCTTTTCAAAGCTGGGAAAAAATGCGCTATAGCATAGCTACAGTCCCAAATATACATTTGAGTATCCTACCCTTCTTATTTAATTACTTTTTTAAGTAAAATGATATACTAGGATGAGACCTTTTTATTGGAATCCTTCAGTTAACTTTACCACTGGGAATCACTTATGTTAAAATGGCTGGTTTTGAACAGTGTGGATACAGTACAGTACACTGTATATAATAAATCTGATACACAAGGAGGCAGTATAGTCAACACTACACTTTCACTTCTAACCTGGGTGGACTAAAGTGCCCTGGCCACGCCACACTTCTCTCCTCTGTAACATTAGGAATTTATATCCATGGTTCATCAATAAACTAAAGGGGGAAAGCTTGCACATAAGACAACTGAACAAAATGCTCATTGACAGCATCTCTGTGAAGATTCATATGTGAAATAAACTTCATAATCAAAGTTAAAAGGCACAATTTATTCACGTTTCAAATGTTTTACAGCCTTCTCATACTTGCGTGGGTTAGCACCTTAACCCACACAATGACAATAAAATGAAAAATTGAGCCAATGACCTACAGAGCTGTAAAGGAGATTTGACTATGAATGGGCACAAGAAAGGCTCAGATATTTTGAATTTTATGGTAAATCTATCATTCACTGTTGTTCAAGGTTAGACTAATCCATAAATATAGTACAGTGATCCCTCGGTTAACAAAATTTTGGTTAACGAATTACCTTCCATAAGAATCTTCAACTCGATTAACGAACAAAAATTCGGTTAACGAAATCGTGTCATGTTTTCGCCTGCTCACCAGCTGGAGTATTACTCAGCCAATACAGTAATCGGTTTTAGGGCTTAAATTTGTTACCATTTGAGTAAATATCAAGAAGGTTGTACTATTCAATAATTTTAAAAGTCTTGTATATTAAAAATATATTAAAATTATTAAAAATATATTAAAATTATTAAAATTTTTAGTCATTTAAACAATTATTTAACATCATTATTGAAGTACAGGGAACTAGTTTTTAGCACGCCAAACAGCCACTTGACTCGCTCAGAATGGCGTCAGTTTGTGTCTGCTCAGTGGAGGTAGCATCTTGCTTGAGACTCGAACATAAACTATTTTTACAGTACAATTATTGGTCATTCTGAAATTTATTTTACATATTGACAATATATAATGCAGTGCAGTGTTGATTTAAAAAAAATAATCTTGAATTACACCAAGTGAACTTAAGATTTTATGGGTGAAATGGCAGAATGAAGCATGGGGTGACTTCTCTTCCTTCTCCTCCACCCCCACTTCTAATTCCCATCATCATCAACCAGGAGCCTTCTACATGCACACCTCAAAGTAAGTGTACTTTCCGGCATTTATTTTTAGTTTGTATGTAATTTTCGGTGAGCTGGAACCAATTACCCAAAATCCCATTGAAACAATGGTTTCGGTTAACGAACGACCTTCTGGAATGAATTGTGTTCGTTAACCGTGGGACCACCGTACAGTACAGTTATAAGTATCGACAATATTTACTTTAACTTTGGCAATACTGTAATATTGGGTAATCAAACAATTTTCATTCAGATATTCCTTAGAAAAACACTACAGTGCCTGTACGTATTATGAATTTTACCCGTTTTTTGCACAACCAAGGATGTGTACCACATTAGTGTAAATGAATTCTTTAATCTTTTGTAGCTTCTTGCTTAGGGGCACGTTTACCTGGAATTCTTTCTTTGCCAGACGGAGGTGGCTGTCTCAACCTTTCCTTTAAAATACGAGTTCTACATTCACCTACATTTAGTGCGTACAGTGAAGGTCCAGGGCGTATAATTCGGGCAGACCCTATACACTCATCACCAATGTAGAAAACTGCATACTGTTTGAGGAAATAAAAATTCATTCATTAATGTTATTAACATTCAACATAACAGTACTTAATATCTATGCAAATACCAGAGGGTTAAGTGGAAGTGTCAGTTGCCAATCATGCTGATAGCAGTCTTTGCTGCTTTAACATATGCATTTCATAATCCATACTTATCATAGTCTAATGCAAATATCTAGCTGTCTCACAGTTACACTACGTAGACAAAACTAAAGAGCTATTGAGTAGATTATGTGGGATGACCTGAGCCCGGGGTATGTAAAGTCCAGTCAAGTTAGTTCACGAGCATAAAGAGCCTTCAGAAGAATTACATATAATTTTATTAGAGACAATGCAATTAAACATATATGAGTACAGGTTCTATAGTGCATTTTTTCTCAGCTGAGAAAAAATGCCCCGCCCCCATCTCAAAACTTACAGCTGATTGGCTGTTGCAAACCTGTCCGATTTTGTCCTGAGTAATGATGTATTTCTAAATGGGTTTATTCATAATCGTTGGGATGACCGTTTCTGACAAGAAATATATTTAGCTAAATTAAAAAAGATACATACGTTCATTATTTCAAACATAAGCATGTAGGAAGTTTATCAGAAGTATGATACATGAGTTAACTGTTAAACTCTGGTAGCAAATTCACGCTTTTGGAGGATGCATTTAATATACCGGTACAGGGTATACTTATTTTTACCCACAATACGGCATACTAAGACAAATTACGTATCAGTAATACTACATTTTGCAAAATAACATTTTAAAAGATCAAATTCACATTGAAATATTATACGACCGTTAGCAGGTGGGAAATATGACTGCGAACTACAGTACTTTATATTTTTCCCGCCTCTGCTAACGGTTGTGTAATAGAGTATTTCAATGTGAATCTGATCTTTTCAAATGTTGTTTTTGCATAATGTAGTATTACTGATACGTAATTTGTCTTAGTATGCATTACTGTGGGTAAAAATAAGTATATATTAAATGCATCCTTCGAAAGCGTGAATTTGCTACCAGAGTTTAACAGTTAATTCATGTATAATACTTCTGATAAACTTCCTACGTGCATATGTTTGAAATAATGAATGGATGTCTTTATATAACTTAGCCAAATATCTTTTTCGTTAGAAACGGTCATCCCAATGATTATGAATAAACTCGTTAAGAAATTCATCATTACTTCAGGACAAAATCGGACATGTTTGCAACAGCCAATCAGCTGTAACTTTTGAGGAGGGGGCGGGGCATCTTTTCTCAGCTGAGAAAAAATGCACTATAGTTACATATATTACTGGTTTTATGGAATACTTCCAAGAAAGCAACAAAGATAATTGATTAACTAGTAAACTTTTAAAATTAACTTTATTATAATCAAAATAAGTGGAATGAGTTGGTATTATTTCCCAAATTAAATTTTCTTGTCAAATTTTTAAAGTTAATATCCCAACCCTATGTCTTATTTCTGTACTTTGTATAAATTCCAAGGAAACGTACCTGTCCTGGTGTGATTGCACGGAGAGGAGTTGCTAAGCTCACCACCATGTTATTTTGTGTTGGGGAATGGTGCCATGGATTATGAGTGTGTGTAGTTATAACACAAGGGACCAGAGATGCTGTATTCTGGAATCGAAACTGACATTCTAGTTGGCCTTTTGTAAAAAGTTGTGATGCTGGACTGTGTATCCAGTAGATTGGTTCAGTAAACATTGTTGAGGTGAAGAGTGCAGGATGATGAGTGCCAGAAGCCTGAAAAATAAGGTATTCATGTTTAAGTCAGAAAACAATTGTAGACTATCCAACTGACAGCTGCAGAAGCTGATGAATTGAAGTATGGTACGTGGCTTTTTTTTTTGCAAGCAACAAATATTAATTTCCTCCTATTAGTTATGTCTTTCTTGAGAGATTAAAAAAAACTACAATATGGGAGAAATTTCAGGAAATCCTAACCTCTGACTTTGGTGATTGAAAATTATATTGACAAGATATCAAATATGGAATGAATAATGTAACAGTAGAATTTTTTTTTTTTTTTTTTACGGGGAATAGCCCACTCGGGCACAGGTCATCGACTCTCAGCAGGGCTTAGGAGGCGGAAAAATAATTAAAAAGAAATTAAAAATAGAAAAGAAAAAGATTACCGGGTATATTAATCTACATAACGAATATGCCGGAAAACCAGCTTTTTGAAGTGAGACAATTTGTATGAGTATGGAAACACAGAAGAAGGCAGAGCATTCCACAATTTGGCTAAGTGAGGTAAGAAGGATTTACTATAATGGGTTACTCTAGTGTGACCGACATCCACAGAGAAACAGTGGGCACCGCAGGCAAGACGAGTGTTATGAGCCCACGGCCTTACCGGCGGTACACAGGATGCCAAATTCACCAAACATTGCCCGTTAAAGTACCTGTAAAAGAGAGAGAGTGAGGCAACATTGCGGCAAAGAGAAAGGGAAGAAAGATTATCAACTAAAGGAGGAGAGTTAATCAGACAAAATGCCTTTGATTCCACCCTATCTAACAGTTGGACAGAAGAGCCACCCCAGATATGAGAGCAGTACTCCAAGTTAAGACGAATGAATCCCTTAAACAGAACGTCGATATAACACGAGATACGTTCCAAGAGAGGTCGCTTTCAACGGAATTCGCACTAAATCAAAACGTTGTTTCAATAGAATAATTTAGTTTGAGAGTCAACCCAGATGCACCTCAGCCCATCTCTTAGAATAAACAAAACATTGTTTTTTGTAGTATTATGTTAAAACAAACACTCATAAATCAACACAGCTAAAATTAAGGGATGCAAAATGGTCTGTTTACTGGCTGGGAAGATGGGGGGAGGGAGGGAGGTGAGGTGATATGTTTGACAGTTGATGCCAAGGTGCTTATTTATTTATCTGTCCTTAAGAGTGACTAAGTTTTTCTCTTATAAAATGTCACTGAACTGACCTGGTAAAATATAATTAACAATGCTGGAATTCTTATAACATAGTGATTAGTTTGAATATAAACATGCTATAGTTTGCATTAGACATACAAATTTTAGTTCTAACTAATTTTATTAAAGGGCTAAAAAAAATTTCTCTTGTGCAAAATATATGACATTTATATTCAAATTATTCGCTGTCTTGCAAGGATTCTAGCAATGCAAATTATATTCTCCTAACTTTAGTCTGTGATATTATATAAGATAAAAACTGTAAGCCCATAACTACTCAACCCTGGCTGGGAAGTATTTATTTGTTTATTTATGTTCTTTAGATTGAGTTTTTGTTTAATGTTTATAAAATGTCACAGAAGTGACCAGGGAGAACATAATTTACATTGCTGGAATTCTTATAAGAGAGTGGTTAATTTCAATATAAACATGCTATAGTTTGCACTAGAAAAATTTTTTAGTAATCATTTAGTACAGTACATTATTTTGAGTACATGTACAGTACAGCTTTGCCCTTAGGACAGTGTAGCGTGCCCAGAGAAACATTAGGAGCGAATTTTAAAATATGATGCGCCAGCTAGACTCACGCAAAATAGGAAAGATTCACTTTAAATTAAAATATTGTCCTTAATTGTGGGTGTCACTTTAAATCAATAATCTTAAATTGAATCGCTTTAAATCGACGTTCTACTGTATACTTGAAGCAACTGCTCAGGCGTGAAGTAGCTACAGTATTTGTACAGCATTCCCAGCTTTCGGGAGGCAACTTTAGCAATGTTGAGGTGGTGTGGCTTTCATGACATATTAGAGGAAATGGTGAGGCCTAGCATATCTATTTTAGAATTTGGCAGAATGATTGCATCCTGAAATGTGATTGGTGGGAGATCATCTAATTTGGAAAGTGTAATTGGTAAATACTGAGTTTTATTACTATTGAATTTAACCAAGTTTCTACCTTCCCATTCGGAGATGCTGCACAGATCCGCATTGATAGATATAATGATATCAGCTCTAGAAACAGATCTAGTTGAGAATTAGGGGGAAGGGAAAAAAGTGAAGAGTAGAATTATCAGTGTAAGAATGGATAGAATTAGTCTTAGTGTGAAGTAAATCATTGATAAAAAGAAGGAAGAGAGTAGGTGACGGAACAGAACCCTGTGGGACACCACTATTGTTAGAGAAAGAGCGAGAGATCGATCCCTCGACAACAACTGCCATGGATTGGTTCTCAAGGAAGCTAGAAATTAGAGAACAAATTGGGGGAGAGAAACCATAAGAGGGAAGTTTAGAAAGCAAATGCTTTGGAGATGTCGAGGGCCACGATGAAAGTTTCCCCATAATCCCTAAGAGAGGATGACCAAAGATGGGTGCAGTAGGAGAGATCACCAGTAGATTTTGCCTGGTGAAAGCCATACTGGTGATACAAAAAAAGAGAATGGCATTCAAGGTGACGGAGAAAATGAGAGTTCAAGATATCGAAAATCTTAGAGGGATGAAGTTGGGCAATGGGGAGATAGAGGAATTGGAATGGTCACCCTTCTTTTGGATGGGCTGAACTGAGGCATGCTTCCAAGAAGAAGGAAAAGTTTGGGTTTTGAGACAAAGGCAAAAGAGGCGAGCAAGCACAGGGGCCAGAACTTCAACACACTCTCTCAGAACACGAGGGGGTATTCCGTCCGGGCCATGCGCCTTACTCACATCCAACCTGGATAACACACCGGCAACCCTACGAGTGGAGATTATAGGAATTATTGGAATCGTCTAAGGTGGAGTTAATTGAGAATAAGGTGCCAAAGAGATTGGCTTTATCAGGGGGAGAGTTGGCTATAGAGGTATCAGGTCAGAAGAGAGCAGGAAAAGAGGGAGTGCAGAAATTATTACAGATGTTTTTGGTGAAGGACCAGAAGGATTTACTTGAAGAAGAGTCAGTCAGGACAGCGGTCTTTCTTTTAAAGAAATTCTGCTGGCCCAACAAAGAATAGCCTTTCAACAATTCCTAGAAGTAATGAAAGAGGAGTGCGTAATAAGAGGAGATAGTTACATAACTTGATATGCCCTATCTCTCTCCCTGCATGCAAGAGAACAGGAGCGATCAAACCATGATTGTAAAGTGAAAGTTTTGGTAGAAGATGGGATAAATGCACTCATACCACCCTGTATTACCCCAGCAATACTGTCAGCACATACCGAGGCGTCCTGAGTGGTAAAGCAACATTCATCCCAAGGAAGGTTGGAGAGGAATTCTCGCAAGGATTGCCAGTTTGTCCTCCGATAGTGCCATAGTTGACGTTTAGAGGTGGGGCGGGGGAGTTGGTCATGCCCAGTTTGATTTAATAGAAATAGGATTGTGATCAGAAGACCCTAAGGGGCAGAAATTGAGTATGAATAGTGTGAGGGGGTTAGAGGTAAAACAAATATCAAGACTGCTAATAAGTTGACCATGTCGATCAGGAACGTGTGTAGGGTGCTTAATTATTTGTTCCAGATCATTAAGTAAGGAAAAAGAGAGTGCCTCGGCTCCACCTGGGTCATCCCTTGCAGAGCCAAGCCCCACTCTGTGATGTACATTGAAATTCCCTGGGTAGAGGATCTCGGAGTTGGGGTGTGTGGATAGCAACGACTCGTGGCGAGAAGCGAGATAAGTATTCAAAGAATTCTAAATAGTTGGTAGAGTTGGGAGAACAGTATAGGAAACAAAGGAAAATAGTCACAGTTGTTAAGAGATATTTTGAGCCAGATGACATCGTAAAGGGAAGATTCAAGATCCATGAGTCGAGCTATAGGTGTACGTGTGTTGCAGTAGGCACATACACCTCCCTTAGACCGGAAAGAGGTATAAAGGTTGTAGTTGGAGACTTAAAAAGGTTTGGGTGAAGCTACTTTGGTCAGTTGAAGTTCAGATAGTAGTAAGAGGTTAACAGATGGTGCTCCACACAAGGAAAATTGGATCTCAGGCCGCGAATGTTTGAAAAATGAAGTGTGAAAAAAGTCGATCCTCCAGAAACCGCGGTGACGTCAGTTCAGGCACCAGTAGTTTGATGTTGATCAGGTCGGCCCTGGGGTCTACAACCTTCCCGACCAGTGGGACCCGTCCGAGAAGACCCCCGCTTCAATACAGGGTATTATTGTCAACTGACATCAAAGAATAAAAGAATACAGTCAACCCTCACTTTACGCGGTCCAACATTCCGGGTTTCCACGTTTACGCGGTGCCCTGCCAGAACCCAGGACGCGGGAGACGTATAATTTTTTTATTTAGCTCATAAAATTCATACAAATTACCCGGCCAGAATATAATTTACACTGCTGGAATTCTTACAATTTGATGATCATTTTGAATATAAACATCATAGATTTTGCATTAGACATACAAATTTTAGATATACAGTTGTACCCCACTTAACGCGGTCAATAGAACCCAGAGGGTCCCGTGTTAAGTGAAATCCGCGTTAAGTGAACAACAGAACATATGGGATTAATTCCAATAGAAACCGGCCCGACCCCCAAACTCCACTTTTTGAAGGCACATACCTATGTTGTAGTAAAAATAACATCTTAATTTTATGATGGTACATGCACACAATTAATACTTAAGAGAAATACAGTCGCCAAGTAAATGTCCATTCAAATAATGGACTCAACTCCCTCCCCCTCTCACACTACACTCGCTGGCTCTTCCCTCTCAGAGAAATTTTTGGGGGAAAACCACTAAATTTTAATAAATAATACCTCAAACTAAAGTTAGGGTAATACAATTGACATTGCTGGATTCCTTGTAAGACCAGGAATATTTTGAATATAAATGTCATATTTTGCACAAAAGATAACAGTTACCTAGAGAAAAATTTTTATCTAAAATTTGTATGTTTAATGAAAAATATATGATGTTTATATTCAAAATGATCACCAAATTATAAGAATTCCAGCAATGTAAATTATATTCTGACCGGGTAATTTGTATGAATTTTATGAGCGAAAACAAATATCTTCAGTTAATAAAAAAAAAAATAATCTTCACAACACTATCTGTCAATCAAAGTACCACACCTTGCCTCCCCCCCTCTTCCAACCGCGCGGTCAGTCCCAACCCTCCCCCCCACCCCCCACCAATCCTCCCTTCCAGGGTTTTTAACATTTAGTATTAAATAATACCTCAGATTAAAGTTAGGATAATATAATTGACATTGCTGGATTCCTTGTAAGACCAGGAATATTTTGAATATAAATGTCATATATTTTGCACAAAAGATAACATAGTTAATTTGAGAAAAATTTTTATCTAAAATTTGTATGTCTAATGCAAAAATATGATGTTTATATTCAAAATGATCATCAAATTATAAGAATTCCAGCAATGTAAATTATATTCAGACCGGATAATTTGTATGAATTTTATGAGCTAAAATAAATATCTTCAGTTAAAAAAAAAATAATTCTTCACTGGGTAACAGATGGTCGGTCGGTCCCTCCCTCCCCCCCACCCCCACCAACCGTCCCAAGGAGATGTGTGGGATAACCACTAAATTTTAATAAATAAAACCTCAAACTAAAGTTAGGATAATATAATTGACATTGCTGGATTCCTTGTAAGACCAGGAATATTTTGAATATAAATGTCATATATTTTGCACAAAAGATAACATAGTTAATTTGAGAAAAATTTTTATCAAAAATTTGTATGTCTAATGCAAAAATATGATGTTTATATTCAAAATGATCACCAAATTATAAGAATTCCAGCAATGTAAATTATATTCTGGCCGGGTAATTTGTATGAATTTTATGAGCTAAAACAGGCAGTCAGGCAGGGTGGCGGGTGGGGCAAATCTAAAAATAGCGTCTCGAGCCGGACACTCACCGCGTATATGTGGAAAAAATCCGTGTTAAGTGAAAGTTCAGCTCTGGCGAGGCACCGCGTATATGATAAAACGCGTTAAGTGAAACCGCGTTAGGCGGGGTAATACTGTAATGTTTATTCTGAGTAAATATGTTATCTTTTGTGCAAAATATATGACATTTATATTCAAAACATTCTTGGTCTTACAAGGAATCCAGCAATGTCAATTATATTATCCTAACTTTAGTCTGATTTATTATTTATTACTAAAAAGGTAAATAGTCTTGTTTTTCACACATTTATCTGGTAGGGAGGGTTGGTGGGGGGTGGGTGGGTAGGAGGGACCAAAATCGATGGTGTGAAGAATATTTTTTTATTAACTGAAGATATTTGTTTTAGCTCATAAAATTATACCAAATTACCCGCCAGAATATAATTTACATTGGTGGAATTCTTACAATTTGATGATCATTTTGAATATAAACATCATAGATTTTGCATTAGACATACAAATTTTAGATATAATGTTTACCTAGTAAATATTATTTTTGTGCAAAATATATGACATTTATATTCAAAATATTCCTGGTCTTACAAGGAATCCAGCAATGTCAATTATATTATCCTAACTTTAGTTTGAGGTATTATTTATTACTATACCAAAATCTAGTGGTTTTCCCAAAAATTTCAGAAAGGGAAGATGGTGGTATAAAGAGGGAGGGGAGTTGAGTCCATTATTTGAATGGACATTAACTTGGCAACTGTATTTCATTTTAAGTATTAATTGTGTGCATGTACCATCATAAAATTAAGATGTTATTTTTACTAGAACATAGGTATTGTGTTGGAAAGTGAGTTTGGGGGTCAGCTGGTCTCTATTTCATTTAATCCCATATGTTATGTTATTCACTTTTACTTTCTCACTTTCCGCGGTACCGGTTACATTAACCTCGTAAAGTGAGGGTTGACTGTAGAAAGAATACAGCAGATCAAGAGTGAGTACGGTTATACATGTTGTGTTGTCAATAGTAAGAGAGACAATATGACCCCTGCAATTGTGTGTGTAATGTGGCAAAAAGACAGATCAGCAACCTGGGACTTGGTCACAATTTTTGTGATACCAAATGGTAGCAGGGTCACATTATACTTCCAATATCTTCCCAGGTGGTAGTACCTTTCTGTTTAGTAGCTGCCTACTACCGACTGACATTGGTTGTCCTTTCAAGTATAAAATATTTATATGATGTTATTCAAACCACCCACTACTTTCTTTCCCTCTTCTACTCTTATTGTTCCATTTGCTGATGAAGCCACTAACAAATACCTGAAAATCATTACTTCCTCCATTCAGACTATCATTCATTTCTTCTTGTCTCTCTTCTCTTACATACTTTTCTGACTTGATGTTTCTGCCAGGTAATAATGGAAAGGTACTAAGGTTCCCTTGACTCTTTTGACTGGGAACCCTCAGGTCTGATCACCCTTCCTCACTCCCTTAATGAGGGGGCTGATGCGGGTTACCTTTCTCCCTGGAAGAAGGCTACTTTGAGCTGGTGTATAACCAATAAATGACTACCACACCATAGTGCTGGATCAAGTCTGGCCACAAGTGCATGACACAGAAGACATTTTATACAGTTCCTTCATTGTTCTTTGTAACTTGTTTCATCATATAATGGTGGCCCTTCTGTAATTGAGGATGCCGGCCCAAGGGCCACCTAGGCGTGAATTTGTTTAAGGTATAGAAGCTGTCGCCAACACAACAACCACACCCTAAGTTAACAAGTTGCATGACCCAGTGTTAAGGAATAGTCGAGAAGACCGGACAACTCGCCAACTGCACTGGCTAACCATTACCCCGGGACATGATCCTAAATTGATTAACATCCAGGTTCCCAATTACTGCTGGGTTGACAGGCAGCATGCATAAGAAGCAACTAAGAACATAAAAAAAGTTTTCTTTATGGACAATATGACAACAGTGACCCTTATGTACAGGGGATTCTCTGAATCATTTGGGAGGCCTTGGCTCCTGAGTGCACAGCAGGGAAAGTTTTAATGTAAGGTCCATTCCTTTGCCTATTCAAACTTATGAGCAATTTTCAGAGTTTTGATCTGTATAGTGAGTAGATTTCCTTTCTATATAACTGCCAGGCATGTAGATACAACTCTGAATGCGCAAGCAAATGTTTTAGCTGGAGATCGGCTTTATTCTCTGAATGAGTTGGAATGAAATTTTGTAAGGAATGGAAACAAATGCTGTACTGTAACTTACTCTTGACCTTAGACAGTCAATGGGTTAAGCTGTCAGCTGGAAAAAACTGGTAGTCCCTTTAACCATTCTTTTTAACTGATTTGTAAATTATTGCAAACTTTACCAGTGGGGTAACCTTCAATGACCACTGACCATGACTTCTGTCCTATGTTCACCTAAAAGTGCAGTCATCAAGAATGCCATGTATAAAATTTCAACAAAATCACAGCATGCCTTCTCCAACAAAGTGCTGTTCATTGTTACCAGTGAATACAAGTATGATTGCCTCCCTAAACCTTGTAAAATCACTTAAGTAAAAACTCACCACATATATATTGTTGGCTTCTGGATGCTTTCACAAAGTATGGCTGAGGAAAGCAGAGATTACATCTTTGACCAATAGTCCACTGGTGAATGCCCTGATGAGTACCGACTTCTTCTCTGGTGTCAATGTCAATAAAACTTCCTGGATTCTCCTCAATGTATGAGCACCCAAAAAAATTAAAAGGTAACTCAGCACAATAAGGAAAGAATATCTTAAATGTACAGTGAAACCTCTATTTAACAGACCATATGAAGAAGAAAATCCGTTATATCGAGATTCAGTTTGAGGTGAAAAACCCATCTAACGAACTACAGTATATTCCCAATTTGACGAAATCCGATAGAACTAACTCGATTTAGAGGAAGGACTTTTTCCGTTATTTTTCGCTTGATTAGTGAACTAGTTGCGGAATCGAGATTAATTCCTTTAATAAGCTCACATCTCGGGAAACACTGGACACATGATACAGTAAAACCTACCTCAGCCTACGGCGTATGTACTAAATTTATAAAAACGAGAAATAATTATGTAAAAAACACCATGTAAGATGCATCCCCCATTTCAGCAGGGAGTATGTAGGAGACTTACCATTAACATATACAGTACTTGATAAACCCACACAGGAAAAGGGAAACACTGGAGCACCTTAGCTTTCATCTTCATTCAAGACATCTTCAGAGGCAACTGAATTTACAAGCAGAGAGAGGCTTATATATACAATAGGTGACCTAACATAACATCAGGTCAGGTCAATAACATGGTATTCACTAATCCACACACTACCACCACTGCAAATGAGAGAAGAGCTTATAAAAAAATATGGGTCAGATCAAAAACATGAGACCCATTAACCATCTACACTACATTCACCTCAAATGCTTTCTAATTATATTTAACCTCAGGCCAGTTATTATTCATTCATTAATACCACAACATCTAAGAGTTTAAAGTCTTTTGTGAGGCACTGAGTTGGAGAAGGGGAGGAAGGGAGGTTGGCACTGCCCATTTCATCAACGATTTTATTTACAAGTACAGTATTTAGTATCATATTCTTGTAGGATCAGCCTCTTATAGTGTATGATTTATCATTGATACTGTAAAAATTTTAAACACCATAGAAAAAAAAGACAATATAATTTGTAATTTGACATCAAAATTACATGACAAGCCGAGCAATAAGGAAATTTTTTCATCCAGACCTCTCCACCGGGAGGAGGGTGGGTAGCCCAAGAGTTTACACACACGTCCCTGTACAGGACTCTCTCTCTCTCTCTCTCTCTCATTCATGTAGATCCACAATGAAAATGTGGACAAGATAAATCTTGATAAAATCACACAGGAAAAGGGAAACAATGAGTGACCTTAAATAACACCAGGTCAGGTCAATAACATGGGATTCACTAATCCACACACCATCTCCACTGCAAACGAAAGAAGAGTTATAAAAAAAAATGGGTGACCGAACAACAGATCAGGTCAAGTCAGGTCAAAAAACATGACCCACTAATCATCTATGAGATGTTTATACTCAAATTAATTGCTATCTTGCAAGAATTCCAGCAGTAGTAGGCAGTGGGCAGCTATCAATCAGGGAGGTACTACTGGAAGATATTGGAAGCATAATGTGTTCTCTAATGGTAGACCCTGCTGCCATATGGCACCACAAAAATTGTGATCAAGTCCCAGGTTGCTGATCTGACTTTCTGCCTCATTTACACACAATTGCAGGGTCTCAATTGTTTCTCTTACTATTGACAACACAACATAAATACTGTCGTTTCTCACTATTGATTTATTTTTCATTTTTGTATTTATTTATTATTTTTATTATTATACTTTTATTTATTTAATTAATTATTATTATTATTTATTATTATTATTATTATTATAATATTTTAGCTACCTGG